AGGTGACCTCGGGCGAGCGCGCGGCCTGGGTCGCGGCGCGGGGGGGGGGGGGGTGCGATCGTCGTAGCGGGCGAGATCTCAGCGGGGGAAGCATGCTCACAGAGGAGGAGGCGACGCCCGGTCGCTCCCATATGATGCGCCAGCCCGCGGGGCGCTGGCCCGTCGTTGGGGCGCCCGTCGCGCGCCGCGCTGCCCCCCGGAAGAATGGCGCCGGCGCCAGGCAGCAGAGCGCATGCGCGGCGTACCTCTTGTCGCAGTACAAGCGGCTGCAATGGTTGGGGCTCGCGCAAGTCTTCGGCGAGAGTCGAGTCCGCGAGTGGGCGGGCGCGCGCGCTGCTGTTCCAGTGCGCGAGGAGGCTTGCGCTGGAGGAGCTCGAACAGATATAGTCAGTGGGCGGGGCGCCACTTGGCCGCGGCTGTGGCGCAAGGGCCTGCGCTGCAGCGGCGGTTCACCCAGCGGGCCGAGCGCGCGCGGAACGAGTCGCCAGGCGTGCCCCGCAGACGCGCGAAGGAGCCAGCGCGGCCCGTCACCGAACAGTGCCATAGCGGCGCGAGCTCAGCGGGCCCCGACATTTCCATGCTAACGAAAGCGGGGAGATATAATAATGCATGGGCAAACGAGAGCTGGGGGGGCGTCGAGGCAGAGCTGCGCAACGTGCGCCAACAGGCCCGAGCAGAGGAGTTGCCCTCAGTCGCGATCGAAGAGTCGGACGCGGCGGTTGCTGCCGCGAGCCCCAGCGAGGCCGGGGGCGTCGACGGCCTCGCTCCGCGGCATCAAGCACGCCCCCCCCCAAGTGGCGAGGCAGCGGCTAGTCGAGCTGATCGGCGTATGCGAGCAGTCGGGCACGTGGCCTCGCCAGTGGGCGGCGACCTCGGGCGCTCGCTCCCACGTCGTCTGCTGGCGAGCGGGTCCTGCGCATGATGCCGCGCCCAGTCGAGTTATGGAGAAGGGCAAGGGCGCCCCCGCGCAGTGGCTGGGGCGACTCTTCAAGCGCCCACTGGGGCGCGGCCATCAGCGGCAGTCCGGCTTTAAGGGCAGGGCTGGGACGCGCGCGTCTAGGCGAGGCAGGGCGCGTGCTTGTCATCGCGAGCCTCGCCCTCGTCAAGGACATCGGGGAGTTATATAACAGCGCCAGCCTCGTGCTCCTCATGGGGGCCGCCAGGGAGGTTGGCTACCCGGCGGCAGTGGATGGTTACGGAGGTGATTACGTTTGCTGCGCCGCGCTTCTTAGAGGACAGGGCGGCATTGAACGAGGCGATCTGGGCGGCGCGCCCCATGGTGGTTGGCTCGCCCAGGACCGTCAGCCTTGCGAAGGAATTTCTACGTCCCGCCTTGCGGAGAGCGCGCCTGGTCTCCCCGAGATCAGGGCCATGGGCATTCGCGGGCGACTCGGTGGCTAGGGCCGAGGGCGCAGAGCAGGATGCACTTGGGCAGCTGGTTGAAGCGGCGATGGAGCTGGCCCGAGGCACGAAGCTGCCGCGGCTAGGGGTATCTGACAAGACGGCAATCATCGGCGCGTCCAGGGAGGTGGTCAAGGGGTCGGCAAACACGCTGCGAAGCGGGGGTATCCCAGCCAAGGTGGTCCACAACAGGCAGGACCTGGGCTTGGGCGCAGGCGTGAGACATAACAGTTCGCGCGCTTAAGCAGCGCATCCAGAAGGCCACGCAGCGGTTTGCAAATATCCAGAGAACGAGGCGCTCGCCAAGGAGGCCGAGGGCCCATGGGCCGCGTGGGGCCCTCCCGCAGGCGCGATGCGGCCGCCGAGCCTTCGGGCTCTCGCCCTCGGAGCTTGCCCAGCTCCGACGGCGTGCGGGACAGGTGGCCACTGGCCTCGCCGTCGAGATGTGGGAGGTGGGAGGAGAGCTTGGCCTGGAGATTCCGAAAGAGAGCGGTTTCGGAATGGTTGGCGATGCGGCAGCATAGCCTGCAGTTGCACGAGAGAGCGAAGTTGGCCTGGGCAAAAGATCAGGCAGGAGTTGCTCGGAGCTGGGCGGAGAGGGTGGGCCTGCGTCGAGGGCTCTATCGCCGCGCTGCGTCGGCTGGCGGCCTACCGGCGCGACGGACTGGGGGGGGCCGCTGCCGGGCGGGCGTCTTCAGGCGCGGCGCGTGCCCCGCAGCGCGGGCGAGGCTTTCGCCCAGGACTGGGGGCGCGTGGCCATCCTCGGAGACCCGGTCGGCGACGCGCGCAGGATGTGCCGGGGCGGGGCAGCCAAGCACGAGGATGGCAGGGGCGCGCGGGAAGGCGCGGGCGTCTGGGGGGCGCGGAGAGAGCCGAAGTTCCACGAGGAGAGGGCGTCGGACTTGGCGGCGCTCAACCCCTTCGTCGCATCATACGGTCAGTGGGCCAGGGCCGAGGGCAGCGTGCAGATTACCTTGCGAGTTCGACGCGCTGCCCGCGTTGCGAGCTCAAGGAGGACGCGCTGCGCCGCCGCGTCTCGGGGCGCGAGAAGAACGCAGGCCACGAGGATTTAGAGAGGACAGATGGGCTCGCGGCGCGGGCGGCCGCCCGGCCCGAGACGGCCCCCGTGTTCTGGTCGAGGGGCATGCCTTCGACCATCCTGGCGGCGCTCGAGTTCGATGGCCAGCGCGTCGGCGCGCTCAGCTTGCAGCGCCATTTGCGCGGCCTCGCCATTTGCACTGCGGCTCAGTGCGCGCATGTATTTGGCGATGGCTCGGGGGGGGGGGGGGGGGGGCGATTTTCTGGCGATCCCAGGGGGGGGCGCTGCGGAGCGGCGATCGGGGGCTTCGCTCTGGACTCTGGGTGGGCCTGAACCATGGGGGGGGCCCGTGGGCGCCCGCTCTTGGGAGAGGTCCAAACTGCCACCCGAGCACAAGCGCTCGCTGTCTGCTTGGCTCTGGAGGCAGCCCCAGCCAGCGTGGCATTACGTTCGCCACCGACCACACAGCGATCGCCATGTTTTGGGAATCGAGAGTCCGCTGGCCCGGCCCTGCTGGGGCCAGCGAGGACTTCTGGACCCGGGCCCGAAGTCACTTCCCGGGCCGACAATGGAGGAGCGTTCGCGCGGCTTGGTTACCGCCCCGCCAAGAAGAAACCCCAGAAAATTTCAACGCGCGAGAGAAACTGTGTTTTCATCCCCTGGCAACGCCCGCGCTGATTCGCGGGCGGGGGAGGCGGCGGAGTTGGCGCGGGGCGGCGCGGTGGGTCGGGGCCCCGAGACGGATCGCATCGATGCGATAGTTTCGTTGATGCGCCGCCGGGCCAGGCGCGCGCCGGCGGCCGCGGCGGAAGCGCAGGGCAAAGTTCGGGCCGACAGGGCCCCGAGAGTGGCCCAGAGGTTGCCGAGGCAAGCGGTCTTCGCAGCAGCTGCCAACACACTAGAGCTGCGCGGAGCCTCGCAGAAATTTTGGCGGCGCGCGGCGCGCGAGAGGGCCATTCCCAGATGCGAGCTGGCCGCGGGAGTTTGTAGAGCCCCCCCCCCAGCTAGAGAGTGGAGAGGGGTCGTGGCAGCGGTCGGAGAGCGCATCGCCCCAGCCGTCAGGGGGCGCGGAGTGCGCCAACGCGCCCCCTATTGTCGCGCACAGTTCAGTATGTAGAACAGTGGTTCCTGTATGTTTGTTCGAACTGCGGTTTGTGCGCTGCTATAGACCCCGGTAGTTCAGCCCCGAGGCGTAAGGGGAAGAACCCTTGAAAGGGTTGGGGAACCTGTCGAGGCTCCGCAAAGGTTTGTTTCCTCGGCGCGAATCCCCCCCCCTAAGGTAGCCAGTGAGGCTACGAGCGCCCGAGAGAAGGCAGCCTGAGGTGCAGCAGCTAACGTAAGCCATGGTAATGAATGAGCGCGCGTTCTTGAACAAATGCTTGAGAAAACGCGGATTTATTACAACCAGAAGCGGTTTCGTTAATTGCGCCGCCGAGTCAAAACAAAACCAACTTTCATCCAGTTAACGCAGAAGCCTGCTTACTCAATTCAAGAACGTGTGTTCAACATCCGGGGCCGCCGTCCTAACTCCCAAATCCGGTCACCAGCGTGACCAGAGCGGCCTGATCAGCAGTGCAGCAGTGGGCTCGGGAGCACCACCGGTGGACTTCCCAGGTACCGGCCGTGGCAAGGATGCTGGGCTTCGGGAGGCCCAGACGGGGGCGGGGTGCCGCCGCGCGGCCCCCTCCAGGCCAGGCCGCCTCCAGGGAACCCCTCTTGGACGAGGAGGAGGGCTGCTCCAGTGGCCAAGAATCGTTCTTTCCCTCAGGACAGCGTCCGTTATCCAAGGGTCCAAAGGGTCCTCCTCCTCCTCTTCCTCCTCCTCCTCCTCCTCCTCCTCCTCCTCCTCCCCCGCCTCCTCTTATCCCTCCCCCGCCTCCTCCTCCCTCTCCCCCCCAGTCCTCCCCTCCCTCCTCTGGTCCGTCGCGGCCGGTCTGCTCCGCCCGGCCTTGCGTCGCGTTTCGGCCTGCCCCCCGTTCCGCCTCAGTAGAGGGATGCTGCCCCCACAAGGGGGTGCAGCCGCTTCGCTGCACCGATATCGGCCCCGGCCCGCTCCGAGTCCCGTGCGATTCTCCGACGATCCCGTCGTCCGCTCAGCTTCAGGGCTGCCCACAAGGGGCAGCCGATTCGATATCGATTTCGGCCGGCCCAATCCGATGCGTTTCCGATTATCCGACGATGTTCGGTGCGACCTGGTGCTACTTCGGCGGCAGGTAAGTCCATACGGGGTAAGTCCTTACGGAGTGCTCGGTCCCCGTATGGACTTATTTCGTGTGGTTTTCGCCTCTCCTGACTCTTGTGCGTCTTGGCGTGGCCGATCCGCTTTGATTCTGACTCCGTGCCGATGCGGCCCGACTCGACGCGCGTTCCGATCCGACCCGGTGTTCACGATTCGGTGATGTGTGGTGTTGCCCCTTCTCTTTCCTCCGCCTCCCTCCGCGGAGGCCAGGCCGTGGTGACGTGGTGAATGTGCAGTGATATGTGATTGCGGGTGGGGGCCACCCTTTGCCGCGGTGGAGCAGGCCATTAAGTCCTCTTTCTCCCTGCTGGCGCCCGCCAGTCTTCTGGTGACGACCCTGCCAAGCGGGTCCGCGGAGACGCGGGGCTCGCTGGCTTCTTCGGCACGGCGCCCTTGCCAGGAGCGCCGCGCCGTGCTGCCTGGGCGCTCGCAGATCTTGATGGGCTTGTTTTCCACCGCCACCACCATAAGTTGGAGGGGGAGGGGGTCCTCCTCCTCCTCCTCCTCCTCCTCCTCATCCTCATCCTCATCCTCATCCTCCTCATCATCATCATCATCATCATCATCATCATCATCATCCTCATTCTTCTCCTCCTGCTCCTCCTGGTCCTCCTTTTCGTCCTCCTCCTCGTCCTCCACCTCCTTCCTCCCTCCAACTTATGGTGGTAGTGGTGGTGGAAAACAGGCCCATCAGAGCTCGTAGGCGGTCGAGCATCATGTGAAGATCTGTCAGAATTCCGTTTCCGACAAGGTAGTTGCGTACACAGTTTCGCACAGGCAGGAAAGACAGGTTTGCAGCAACGTTTCTTGCCTCCGCAGCCAGTTGCCTCAGAGGCTCCGCAGAGGCCCATGCTAGCAGCACGCTGCGAACTGCACACCCGCGTTGAGTCCAGGAATTCGGATGCAACTCCGGGGAGGTACAGTTCTGACTTTGCCCTGGTCCGAAATCCGATTGAATCCAGCTTAGTCCCGCTTAATCCTGCTTACTTCCGTTTACCCAGGTCTGTTAATATCGCTTAATCCGCCGCCGAATCTGGCGTAGCAAACCCCCAATGGGGTTTAATCCTCTTGAATCCTTCCGACGAAGACCTCCCAGTTAGTTGCTTCCTAACGTACTGTGCACCAGTGTTGAGGAAAATCTTTGCTCGTCCCTGCACGTTCGGGCCCCCCTGGCCCAGGGGGCCGCTTCTCTCTCACCCCTGCGTGCATACAAGGTTCGACGAAGAGCGAACCTTTCAGGAGATACAAAAAATGATTCCGGAGAAAACCCAATCAGGGCTATAGGGCTAGGGGGCTAGGGGGCTACGAGCACCCCCGGGCACCTGGGCACCCGAGCGTGCAGCGAAAATCGGCGACAAACCTAACCTAACCTAAACAAACCTAACCTACAGAGGCAAGCTCTGATTGGGAAACATATAGACATATTTATTTGTCGACTCCCAGGAAAATATGGGACAATGCGGAAACTGGGGGGGAAGACGAAACACCAGAAAATATTTGAAAATTTTGGGGATCCTGGGATTAGTGTCTATTTATTTGTGTGTCTCCTCGGCCCCTTCAGCATTTGATTGACACGCGCGTTTGGGGAGGTCCGTGCGGATTTTGTTTTTGATCGGCGCCAGGAAGGGAGGTTCCAGCGCAGATTCCAGGAAGTCTCCGCGCGGACCTCCAGGAGTGCAAGATTTATGCAGTATCTTGCCCTTCGTTGGTGATCATTTTCTTACTCCGAGTTTCTTAATAAGCGTCGGGGGGGCGTCACCCCCGCCGACAGCCCCACATCGACCCCTGTCGCGGGCAGCCACCGCGCGCCGAAGGCGCTCCGACCCCCGTCGCGGCGCGACGACGAGGCGAGGTTGACCCCCGTCGGTGGGGTCCCCCCCCCCCCCCCAGGCTTCTGCAGGAACCCAGCATAGGCATTGCTTTGCCGATCGGCGCGAGCCCTCGCGCCCTCGCACCCCTCTCCCCCCCTGCATGGAGTAGATCGTTGCTGTTTGGGGCGCCCGTCTCACGCAGGTGGAGTCTCCCCCATAGGGCGCCCTGTTGCAGCAGACGCATGAAGTAGAGGTCCAGAGCCAGACCCCCCCCCGTCCCCCCCCCCCTCTTCGCCCAATGTCGAAACGCCGAATGAGAAAACGTTCACCTAGGACAGCGTATCGAACAACAACATCGTCGGATTTCTGGGCCCCTGTCGATCGTCGTGTTCCTATCGTCCTCCTGGTGCTGCTCCTCCTGCGCCCGTTCCTCCTGCTTATCCCATAGGGAGCTCCACCGACGGCCCAAGTGGCTGCTTCGCATGCGCCCACCGGATACATGTTGGCACATTCTTCACGCGTTTCGTGGCCTTGTAGGGAGCTCCGCCGAATGCGGTGCATGCAACGACGGTGCTCACAACTGCATATGGTTGGTTTCTTCGCCAGGCTAATTTGACAGGGATGGTGTGGTGGGGGCGGGGCGCATCGTGTTGGCTGCGCATGCTCCAAATGTGTAGGCAGAGTGCGGTTTGTAATGTTTTTTCACAGGGATGGTGGGGGGCGGGTCGGCATGGTGTCGGCATGGTTCCTCGTTGGACGCCGGTCGCCTGGGGGAGGGGGTGTACATTAATAAGGAACAGTGATCAAGCTACCCACCCGCCCGCAAGCCGCCTATCTCACTCCCACCCGCCCTCCCAACACATAAGTAACACCCGAGCCTGAGCATGTTCAGCGGTCGTCTTTGGATAGATAGTTACTGCGAACCAAAGCCGACCCCAGGTGCGCGACGCTTGGGCGAGGTGCGCCACGCGTGCCAGGGGCGCCACGCACGCCAGGCACCCCTGGGGCCCGAGCGTGCCAGGCACGCCTAGTGCACCAGATGCACCACGTGCTCCGAGTGCGCCAGGTGTGCCGCACACTCCAGCCGCGCCAGGTGCGCCACGTTCGGGGCACGTGCAGCGTCAGGTGCGCCTGCGCACGTGACAGCGCACATCGGGAAACATGTTGGCCCCCACCATCCTTGTCGAAAGCCAATGCCCATCATTGTGTCTGGTGGGCCTGCGCAACCCTTCCCGAGCAGGGGAAGGATGGGTAGAGAAAGCACAACTCGTTAAACATCCACGTACGCCCAGAGAGCGGAGTGCGGAGCACAGCGAAGCGTCCCCCATCCCACAAGCTTCCAAACAAACCTCGCCTGCTATGTGAATGGTCATTCTGGCTGAACCCGTATTAGCGCAAGCTGCGCTGCGGCCTGTGCGCGGCGGTATCCAGTCATGTCGCTTTCCTTCCAGGACGCATGCGTCGATGCCCCGGGCACAAGAGAGGATGGCAACGAGGACGAGGCGGATCGCAGATTGCGGCCCGTGCCGGATCGTACTCGGCCCGTCCACGCGCTCCACCTCCGTGCAGTTGGGGCAGGCGACGACGCCGAATTATTCGACGACGGAACCGAGTCGGTGACCTGCTTGATCGCGTCCCCCAGGGCTGCCGTCACCGAGCCGGAGCCACTGCGCGACCAGAGCCGGGCTCCAACGCTCCTTGCTCACGCGCCTCTCGGCGGCAAGGCCGATCCCCGTGCCAGCCCCACGCCAACCGGAGCCAGCTGGCAGCGTGTTTGCTCCGGCGAGCGAACTCAGGAAGTGTTGGAGTCGGCTGGGGGTCCGAGGTGGCCCAGTCCTGGTTCCGGCCAGCAGGACGGGGGGGGGTCGAGGTTCGAGGGTTTTTGTTCGAGAAGGGTGTTTGCCTTTTTCGATCTTTGGTCGAAAACGGATCAGGGGTGAAAACCTGCACCAGACCGACTCCAGGAGGGGTCCTGGGACCGATTTTTTGCGCGGATGTGGCCTGATTTGTTTCTTCTCGACCTATCTTCTCGAGGTGCATTCAGTTCAGATCCTCGGGTCGCCTCCAAAGGACTCGCTCTCGGACTTCTCGGACTCCTCGGATCAGCTTGGCGTCGGCATGCTCGAGAGCATGTACGCATATTTCAGGGTGCTCGAAGAAGGCTACCCTGTCACCACGTGCTCTCCTCGCTTCGCCTCGTTAGTTGGGTTGCCCCTTGACCAGATCAGATTGCTGGACTTGGTGTTCGACACGGAGGCGTTCATCATGCACGCGCAATTGCTGTGCAACCGAGCATATCAGAGCGGCGACTTGAAGGTCTCGACCATGTGCGCAAACGTCTGCTTGATGCCGGCCCGCAAGAGGACGGACCGTCGAATGTACGGGTTCAGTGCCCACCTGGAACTCAGCATGGACCACAACAACAGTGCGGGTGACGTCGAAGAGTGGACGGTGCGGGCGCAGTTTCACGACGTCGCGAAGACCCTGCTGCACGCTCGACCCTGAGGACCGCTAGCCCCTGCCCGGGAGTCCCAAGAGAGCTGCTGCGGCGGTGCGGGCCCGACGGGCGGACTGCAGCGCGGGCGGTCGCGGACTGCCCTGGCAAGTTGCCGCTGCTATCGGGGGAGGCGAAGCGGTGGGGATCGGCTCGGGGTGGCGGCAGGGGGAATCGGCGAGTGAGGGGGAATCGGCGACTCCAAAGGGTGTGGTTACGCTGGGGTGTGGTTTGCGATGTGCGCCGTTGGAGCCTGGGGGGGGCACCTTGTTGCCCTCCTCGGGCTTCCTCGGGGCGCGGCGGAGAACTCGGTCGAGGTCCTCGCCCGCCCTTCAGGGTGCGGGTTGCAAGCCGCACCATTTGCAAGCCACGCCATGCTGAGTCGCCGAGGGAAATGCCGACTCCGAATCGACCAACCGTCACCAGACGTGGTCTGGGTGCCCTGCCCTGTGCAGGGACGCTGGGCTTCGCCATCGCACGCCGAATCATTGGCAACACGTCGCCGGCGTCTCGTCGATTCCAGGCCGATGCTTCTCGTGCACCCTTTTCACCCCCTCCTCGGGCCAGCAGCCCCCGTTCTCCGAGGGCGACGGCAGTTTTTACCGTCCGGAAGGGGGTCCCATGGCCGTGGCGGCCCCGAGAACGACGACACCCATCGCGCGGAGCTCGGCGCGTATGGGATTACCCACAGTGACCTCGGCATGCTTACATGCCATCCTGCATTCTTTCAAGCGGACAGAAGCGCAGCCCACATCTTACCAACAGCGTGAGACTTCCCTCCCCAAACACTTAAGCTCGCAGCGACTGTGCAATTCTGCCCTGACAGAGGTTGGAGTCGCATTATGCGCATGCGTTCTCTGACATGACGTCATCATGCGCTTAGTCATCATGCGCTTAAGAAGCACGTGACGCATGAGCACACGAAGCGTGATTCGCCTTCGGGGCGCCTGGCCTGCGTGCCGTCAACTGCCGGGTTTGAAGGATTTGCTGCCCGAATCATGTGTGAGCCTCCTGTGCAGCCCTGCCCCCACGCAATTTTCTACGGCAGTGGTGAACACCCGCCGCGAGAATTTGGTCTGGGTGGTGTCCATCCAGTTGTTCATGCGGTTTATCGATGCATGCTCGTGGTTGGCGGGGCGATACAGATACAGAAATGCACATAGTCGCCAGACGTGCAAGGTTGACCTCGGAGGAGGCCCACTCGAGACAACGGCGGCTCTGCCGCCTGGCCGCACGGCCCCAACCCGCTCAGACTCGGTCCCTCGACCCTTCTGGGTTCGTCCTGGCCAGTTTTCTGATCCGGATCCGGTCGTGGCGACGAGAAGCGTCCAGCGGGCTTCAAGAGCGAGGGAAGGCCGCCGCAATCTCGATTTGCCCTTCTCCGACTTCCTCTCCCGCCCGATGTCCAGTCACCTCATCCTGCGCTCATTTCTGGTGGTGCAGACGCTGCGCGCTGGACGCCGGAAGCGGGGTTTTCGAAGGCCAGGGAGTGCATAAGGCACGGCGCCTGTCGATCCTGCAATTTTTTTGGTATTGCAGGATATATGGCTGGCTGTGCGCTGGGGTGGAGGGCAGAGGGGGCCGGCTTTCTTGCCCGCGGTGTTCCTCAGCAGCCATCCTGCCTCTTGAAAAGCCTTCTCTCTCCGACGCCGCAGACTCCGAGGCGGGAATTTACACATGACCACCGCCTGGAGGGTCAGTTTTCGGAGCCTCGGCAGGCGGTGGATATGAACGTATTCGGGCTCCCGGGGGCCGAAACATGTCGGTATCCATCGCCCGCTGGGGCACCAGGACGTCGGTTCCCAGGCGGTGGTTATGGATACGTCCCCGCCTCGCACAGACGGCTTCTCAGAAGGCGCGCGGGCCTCTGAGAAGCTCGCCACCTTCCGAGGAAGGCCAGCCGCCTATCCCCTCCGCCCGGGGAGTCAATAGGAGTCAGCCACGCGGAGAGGGGGGTGGGTTGAGGGGGGAGGGCTTCTTAGAAGCACCCCTGCTTCTTAGAAGGCGCGGGTCTTCTCTATAGATGTAGGGCCCGCGCCTTCTGAGAAAAAGGCTCCTTCTAGGAAGCCCTCCCCCAACCCCCCACCCCCTTGTGCGCGCTGCCAAAGGAGGCAGCAGCGCGCGCTGCGCTGCTTTCCGTTCTGGCCTTCACGCTCTTTCGTTTTTTTCCGCTTGCATGTCTAGATTCGTCCGCCTTCACGCTCCTTCGTTTTTTCCGCCTGAGCGGTGATGGGCATGTTTTCCACCGCCACGCCACCACCATAGTAAGAGGGGGAGGGGGTTCTCCTCCCCCTCCTCCTCCTCCTCCTCCTCCTTCTCCTCCTCCTCCTCCTCCTCCTCCTTCCCCCCTCCAACTTGTGCTGGTGGTTGTGGAACACGTGCCATTCAGAGCGGTCCTGACTTGCAAGGGAATGCTTCCCCCTTCAGTAAAAAGAGCATCGGACGCTTCTCCACGTGATCACCACAAGTTTGCACATCACCAGCTGCACTGCCGGGCGATTCCGCCACTGAGCTGGGGTGAGCGCCTGAGGGGGGCGGCTTGGAGGCTTCTTACAGGCCTCTTGGACTGTCTGGTACCTTCGGAGTCCATCTCTGGGATCTCTATGTGTGCTTTCGCGATGCATTGGAACTCTCTTCGGAGTCATTGGTCCCTGGTTGGGCCGTCTCGGGGGCCTTACGGGCTATCTTGGGGCCTTCTGGGGTGCATCTTGGACCATCTTTGGGGCCTCTTCGGCCGTCTTGTGTTTTCGAAGGCTTGACAATGCGTGAATGCTAACATTGGAACAGGCATTGGGGAACACTTATGTTAATCCCAACCATCATGTGGTGTTGAGTCTTCGTTTTGAAGTGACCGCGTCCCGCTCCTCCTTCCCTCTCCAGTCAATGTACCCCTTCGCGCCATCTGGTTCCTGCCCTTCTCGCCACACTTGCGTTGCTTGCACTGCTTGCTGCTCTTCTTGACTTTAATACTACCTGAAGCTGTTTGGCTCAGGTAAGACAGAAAACGAGCGGGCTGGCTTGCACGCGCGCGCCGAGGGGTCGTTCCCTCGTCGTCGTCGTGTCGTCGGCCGGCCGGCCTCCTCCCTTCAGGGTTGTACCTGTTGCTTGCTCAACGGCATTTTCCTTTCTTGCCGATGTCTCCTGTGGCGCCCAGTGACTATGGGACATGATCGGGACAAATTGCAGGGATAACGAACATCCAGGCCAAAGGCTGGATATCATCCGGAATGGCGGCACAGCCGTTCGCTTCGCAGAGTATGGGATCTCAAGAAAGAGGGTTCGGAAGGACAGATCGTCAAGGGTCTTCCGAACATGATCGAATGAGCGTTTTGGACCGGCGGGATACATCGAATATTCCTCCCGATAAGAAAGACACATTTAAGCTATTCGATTATACAGAGGGAGATTCATCAGTTGATTCAGAGAAAAATCTAAGGTGTTAAGCCCTGGTTGAAGGGGTGGCAAAGCCAGAGCTTCGCCAGGGAAGTTGTCTGAAGTAGTTGTGGCACATGTTGGCTATCCGAAGATGATAGACATTGATTTTTAGATTCAGAGATTGCTAGATACCGAATACTTCGAGGCATCGGGCGTCGACCGCCAGAGTGCTGGGCTGGGGGCGCTGTTCAGTGCGCATTGCATGGGCAGGGTGAAGATGTGAGTTATGCACAGAAGAAGGTAGTTCGCATTCAATGGAGTTCACTTCGCCCCGCCCGTCACGTCATTTAGAACCTCTCCTTGATATATGTGACAATATTGATCATAGTCGAGCAATGATTGAGGCAAGTCAGAACGCTATCCTTGATTCAGATGATGAAAGGCTAACCCGAGGTGGAGACTCATCGGCGCATCCGATAGGAGTCTCCCCTGACGTTGCGCGCAGTAGACGGAGTGCGCGAGAAGTTGCAGGGGCGACTCCTCGTCCATTGACGAAGACACGAGGGAATGATAGTGATGACCTAAATGTTTCGCCCTTGCCACATGGTTTCTTCGAGCCCGACTGCCCCCCACCCGGGATCGGGGTCAGGCCCGATTTTTTTCCGCCCAGGAACTTGATGAGCTCGTCGATCAGGATGAACGAGATGAGAGGGCGGTGAACGTGGACGCGGGCGATTCCAAGAGGGGTGCGAGGACGAGAGAACGGCGCGCGCCTGCCCAGAATAGCGGGAGGGGGCGATGCAGGAAGGCCCCCGGGGCCGGGCGTTCCAGCTCCAGGGGGTTGAATGCTTTCGATGTGCCAAGAACGTCAACCACTAGGGCCACCAGCAGTCTTTCGATATGGGAAGTTTGCTGGAATGCCCGCCTAATGCGCCATCCCTGCGCTGAGAGTCGAAGGCCTGTGTGTTCTCGATGCTCGAATGTTTGCCCCAAGTGTAATCTTGCATGGCTTTGCATGATTGCATCGCAATGGAAGGGCGCAGTTGCCATCGCCTTGCGATTCAGGAATGGGGCGAGAGGAACTCGAGAACGAGGGTTCGCGTGCAACGAATTCTTGCTGAGGTGCAGGGCAATGAGCAGGCGGCCGATGGGGGCCCGACGCCAACTTCCGATTTCCGAAGCCGAACATCAGATTATTGCGCAGAGGATGGCACATGACAAGACCGCTGTTGTCGAATATGCGCACAAGGTGACGCGACGTGCTGAGGCCGACGCGGCAGGCGTCGCGGATGAAGCAAATGGGCGTCTTGTCCAGGAGGAGAATGGAAAGTTGAGGATTCAGAACGCAGCAGAAAAAAACTTGCGATTGACCCCCGACAGAAAGCAGAAAGAGAGAAAGCTGCATATAAAGAGATGGCTCATGCTGCGAGGCGGGAGGGATAGATAGAGGCCCGAGAAAAAAAGCAACGCGAGAAACATCAGGAGCTTCGAAATCAGCTCAAAGCTGCGGGGCGTGAGGCCGAAAGAGTGAAGTCGGAAGCGTTGCTGGCCCTTAGAGAAAAAGAACAGAACATCCAAGCGACTAGAGCAGAGGATCAGGGGAAAATGGTCGAGGCATCGGATCGTTTGAAGGGGC